AACACTGGGCCTGGATGGTCGTGGTTGAGGTCCGGCAGGGAACACTGGGCGGGGATGGTCGTGGTTGAGGTCCGGCAGGGAACACTGGGCGTGGATGGTCGTGGTTGAGGTCCGGCAGAGAACACTGTGGATCGCGGGTCGCAGTTGGACGAGGACGACGAGGACGACGAGGACGACGAGGACGACGAGGACGACGAGGGCGACGAGGACGACGAGGACGACGAGGACGACAAGGATGACAAGGAGGACGAGGAGGACGAGGAGGAGAGGAGGAGAGGAGGAGGAGGAGGAGGAGCACGAGGCAGGAGGAGGCAACTGACATAAAATCTAACAACCCTCACCTGGCAGGTGGGGAATCAGTATATAACAGTATATACCATATGAATATATCTTATATAACATATATGTATACTATCTGGGGTATATAACCATACTAAAATGCTTGGATATACCAATTAGGTCCAGTTTTTACACGCTTCCCAACTCTGCAAGATGCTCATCCGTACATGGCCCCGAAAAGGGCTGAAGGTTTGTACAATGGCAAGAGTTTTGCCAGTCATAATTGTGCACATAATATAAATATATCTATATCTATATATATATATTTAAACATACAATACAGTTAGCTTGTCCCAGTTGTTTGCTATATCATGTAAAAACTGGGAGAATAACATGGTATACTAAACTAAACTGTTATAACCGGTATAGACCACTAAAAAACTGATATAAATCACTAGAAAAGTTGGATTACTGTTGGAATTCATCGAATTTCGCGGCAGATTGCAGCCTGGACATGTTCTCCTTCGGACGCATCGCTTTCTTCGTCTCGGCCAAAAAACTGCCACTTCCAAAGCTCAGCATTGAGCAGCTGAGACTTGGTAGATGACATCCATCGAATTTGCTGTTTATTTTCTATGGGAGTATATGGGAACATAATGGAACGACTTTCTGATGGAACTATAACTACAATAACAAATTAATGGAACTATAATGGGACTTATAATGGACTTATAATGGGACTTATAATGGATCTAATTACTACTATTTAATGGAACTATAATGGAACTTATATATAACAAATGAATAACTACTCATTTTTTATGTATTTACCGGTTACTAGGAATATAACTACAATTATAGCCCGTGACAGTTATAAGTGGCTGAAAAAACGGGTTTAAGCGACATATATAGCCAACCAACTAGTTGCAGGAGTTCTAATCCCATATATTAATCCCATTTACAACCGTTAAGGGCCATAAATGTATGGTTATATAAATGTTATATATCCACGAACAGAAGGAATATAATTGGAATATAATGGAACTATACTGGGAAGCGATTCATAGCCTCTGGAAATCCATTACATAGCTGTGATATAGTTGGCCGACGGAAATAAAGGATAAACATGGTGATTTGCCAGGTAATTTACCGTTTTAAAAAATGGTGAGTATATGGACTCCATATGCTTCCCATATTATGGGTTTCTTATGGGCTATGGGAGGCTTGTTCCAAGAGAAGTTCAATATTACAATGTTGATATTTAAAGGATATTAAATATATATAGTAGTAATAGCTATGTAAATAGCTATCCTAATATATAATAGTTATTAGTGTAGTGTAGTTGTGTTATTTCTATTGACCTCAGCGAATTGGTTATCTTTAGTTACATAGTTTGAGTTGGTGGTTTCACAGCATATTGGTACACAAAGTGAGCCCCCCCAGTGATGTTTGTTGGTTAACAAAAGCCCCAGTAACTATAGTTATAAGTACCATAAACCATAGTTATTGGAGTTATAAAGTTTGTTCTGTGTGAGATGTTCACTGTTGGAAGAACAAGAAACATGCTGTTCATAATCAACAGACATTGGATTTTCTTTGGCCAGGACAAAGACATGCCTCATCACTACATATTGGATTTGTTTGCAATCAAAGTGGAGATGTGTCCTCTATGTTCCCAGTTTCTTTGGTGAAAGAACATCGCATACCTATCACTTCCCCCTGGACTAATTTCGGATGAGGGAATCTGCAATGCCGAGTAAGTGGGAGTGGTGATAACTTGTTATAACACTGATATATAGATATATATATATATACACATACATACATACATACATACATACATGCATACATGCATACATACATACATACATACATACATACATACATACATACAAATACTGTTATATATATACATATGTATATATACTGTGGATTGAAGGGATCCTGCACCACCTTGATGGTTGAAACCCTCAATCGATGGGATTCTACGTCGCGTCACACGACGACTGGGAGAGGATCTCTTCCATCCGTTCGCGATTCTGGCTTTAGTGGAAGGAAGACGTGTCTTTAATGGGAAAACCATAGGAAAACCATAGGAAACCATAGGAAAACCATAGGAAAATGGTGATTTAATGAGAGTTTATGGTGGTTTAATGGGATTTAATGGGATTTACCCTCTGGTAATAAACTACCATAACTATGGAAAATCACAATTTTTAATGGGAAAATCCAGTACAAATGGCCATGGTCAATAGCTATGTTTGTTTACCAGAGGGTAAAGACATTTGTGGGTGAACGCATGCTTCTAAGTTCACTAAGTTCATTGACATCGATTGACACCAACCTTGACGGTCTGTCAATTGGGAACGTCAGACACCAATGATAGAACCACCGAATGTTTGCAACCAAAGGCTGGCTATTTTAGTTGGTGACATACTCCCATGTACTACAGTGCATATAACATATTAGTGCATATTATTAGTGCTATGTTCAACACTCCGCTTGCTCATGCCCATGTACTGTAATGTGTGGAGATGCGGAAAATCGCCTGTTAGTAGATGTGAATTGTGAATAGTACATACAGTACTTCATATGCCAAGTATAAGAACTCTCCAGAAGTGGATGACCGATCTAAAGTGTCAGCAGGGCCTTGTGACCCATCCCCCCCAGGAAGGACCAATCCGAAATTTGAAGGGAACATCTGCAGGAAGCCTCCAAAAGCGCAACGCAATGTTTAAACCAGGGCGGCAGGTTTGTTACATCCATATTATATACTTCGAAATCAAACTTGAGTATGTTGTTCCCAAACAATCAAAGAGAGGCCCCCCCTAGTTAGCAAGCTCTGTTTGTATGTCTCCATATATGTTTCCTATGATTTTTCTGATCCCTATGGTTATCCCCATATCCGCATCAAACATCTCCATAAGATCAGCCGCGTTTGGCCGACCAGGATGGAAATGGCCAAGATGCCAGAGTTTGTCGCAATGTCCTGGCCAGAGGTGCGAGCTCTCGAGTCATGGTGTCTGAAACGTCGATTTTTCAAGTCTCTAAGGTTGTTTCAATAGGAAAATCATAGGAAAACCATAGGAAAATGGTGATTTAATGAGGGTTTATGGTGGTTTAATGGGATTTAATGTTATTTACCCTTTGGTAATTTAACATAGCTATTGACAATTGCAATTTATAGTTGAATTACCCATTAAAAATGGTGATTTTCCATAGCTATGGTAGTTTACCAGAGGGTAATGACTGAATGATTCGGGGGTACTCCCATTTTAGGAAACCTGTATATGAATGTGTCTGAACATGAAGTATATATATATACAAATGGCCCTGTTAATAGGCAGAATGATGATTAATCAACGGATTAGGGTACCCGATTTTCAGACAAACCCATATCTAAAGATGGTGCAAAATTGGCAATCAAGCAAACATTGGTGATGAAGTTCAAGAGGATCAGCTGTCCTCATGGGGGATTGATGATCGCACAGGTTATTAACCACATAGCTATGGATAGGTAAAATCAAGATCCTCCAAATCATTTTTGTGATTGATAGGATTTGATAGGTAAAATCATCTAGAAATTTCCAGTGGGTAATTATTTGAATTCCGGCACAGGGGGGTGCGTAGGCGACTTGCAACAGAGAGTCCCAAAAAAGTACTGGTACGGTGTCTCGCTAGCAGTGTAGGCATATGTTTCGTGGGGATCAAGAATGCCACTGCGCATGTGGCGGAAGAAATCGGAACTTCAATTCAAAGGGAAACTGGTTGGTGGTTTGGAACCATGGAATTTTATGACTTTCCATATATTGGGAATGTCATCATCCCAACTGACTTTCACTCCATCATTTTTCAGAGGGGTAGGGAAAAACCACCAACCAGGAAAGCGTTGATCCGTTGATATCAATTACCCTCTGGTTATGACTAACATAGCCATGGTATAGATGGCCCATAGAAATAGATGATTTTCCCAGCTATAAACCTCCATTTATTTTCGGGATTTTCCATGGCTATGTTAGTCATAACCAGATGGTAAGATATCTCTGTAACCCCAATAGGAAAGCCTTGGACCCTCGAGGAGAGATCAGACTTGCAACGACTGTGCCAGGCAGGGCCGATCCATTATAGTGGGGGGGGAAAATGGGCCAATTTGAGGTTTGTGAATTACAACAGAAAGATACAGAAAGTACTGTAAATTTAAGATGTAATTTGCCATAATCTGCCCAGAATGCAGAGGGGAATCCAATATCTAGCCAAACCTTCATATTTGCTGGGTGCCTGGTTGGTAGTGTTGCGATTTTTGAACTTGTTATTTGGGATGATAATCACGATTGACGAAGTCCCTCAACTCGTTAGTAGCGTCTCTTTTGGGGGCATTTCGAATAGAACCAGATGGGGGGATGGGTCAAAATTACAGCATCACTTCTCATTAAAGGATGCTTTACCCTCTGGTAAACTAACATAGCTATGGAAAATGGCCATTTATAGTGGATTTTCCCATTAAAAATTGTGGTTTTCCATAGCTATGTTAAATTACCAGAGGGTACCCGCTGGTAATTCAACAGTTTGTTCTTCAAATCACCGCTTTAGATATCGGTAAACCATGGTAAATCATTCAACGCAACGGCTACGTTCCACAGCAGGACTCCCCAGAGTTGGCGAAAGAAAGCCACAACATGTCAACCCCGATATAGGTAATCCTTTCTGGAGGAGGTCAATTTGGGGGGGGTACCATCTTATAGCAAAATAATATAGCATATGATTATAATATATATATATATATATTGATAATATATGATTTACAAATCATAATTATATAATTATATATTATTAAAATCACATATTATAATCATATCTAATCACTATTTCGGGGTAATCAACCTCCTCCTTCTGAGTCAATCAGGGTTTATCAATCTGGGATGTCACCTCTGGTAGTGTTTGTTTTCCCCTGAAGCCATCGCTAAAACATGAGCAAACACCGGGTGTGTCACCGGTCTTACATCTCAAACATATAATTATGTTACTAGTGGCAAGTCAGTGTGTGCATGTGTAAAAAGATGTTCATGTTACCATTTTATACAAGGACAGCTTTTTCGAAATTCAAAGCAACTGATGAATTTCATTCCACTTTGCTTCGTCATGGAACACATAAATGTTCATTCAGACCCCTATTCGACCACTGCAATCGTCAACCAAATGTGGTTATTTGTCCATGCTACAGAAAGGGGAACCTTATCTACTTAAGTTGGTTCATAACTTAAGAAATGACCTAAGGGTAGTGGATGTGTATGGCAGATATATCTTTAATATCTTACAATGTGGGCCCCCCTAGTTGTAAGTTGTTTTGTAAACCCCATCAACTATAGATACATCTACCGTAAAGCATACTTAAGCTAGGTTTAAACCAACTTAACTATCGAACGGGAGCCCCACATTGTATAATTAACGGGATTTACAGCGCAACAAACATGTCACTGGGCCCCTGCATTTTGGAATGCTCCCTGGGCATCGAAAAGCACCGGTGCAGGAAAGGATTTGTCGGGGCCTCAAAGGCTAGTGACGCTATGCTTCCCCAGTCATAGCCTCTGGAAATCGATATACCCTCTGGTAAACATACAAAAACATACAAAAAACGATGGAAAATCATGTTTAATTGGTAAATCAACTATTTCTATGGGCCATGGCTTCAATAGCAAACTGTTAAATTACCAGAATTCTTCAAGTTGCAGGAGTGTTGCAGGGCCAGAAATGAAGAAAAGAAAACACCAAGCTAAATCACCCTAGATCAGCCTAAATCAGGTCAAAACTTCAAATTTTTCCTTGACCAAACATTGTTGGGGGCCTATAGCATGGTCTTCATATGTCTTCATTTTATGTCCTTTTCGTTCAATTCATCACACCAAGCATCAAAAATTACTTTACTTCGTGTGATCCCCACCATGACATTTATACATTTTCTTACTGGCAAATCTTCTGGCATTCTATCTGACATATCTTCTGACATTCTATTTGGCATTCTATCTGGCATATCTTCTGGCATATGATCTGGCATGACATATCTTCTGGCATTCTATCTGGCAAATCTTCTGGCATTCTATCTGGCATATCTTCTGGCACTCTATCTGACATATCTTCTGGCATTCTATTCTGGCATATCTTCTGGCATATATTCTGACATATCTTCTGGCATTCTATCTGACATCTTCTGGCATATATTCTGACTTCTGGCATATCTTCTGGCATATCTTCTGGCATATCTTCTGGCATATCTATCTGGCATATCTTCTGGCATATCTTCTGGCATTCTATCCGGCAAATCTTCTGGCATTCTATCTTTGTAACTTTCTTCTGCACATTCTTTGTCCCATATCTTCCTACATGAGGTCCGGCAGGGAACACTTGGCATGGATACTCGCGGTTGAGGTCCGGCAGGGAACACTGGGCGTGGATGGCCGTGGTTGAGGTCCGGCAGGGACCACTGGGCGTTGATGGCCGTGGTTGAGGTCCGGCAGGGAACACTGGGCGTGGATGGTCGTGGTTGAGGTCCGGCAGGGAACACTGGGCGTGGGTTGAGTGGTTGAAGTCCGGCAGCGAACACTGTGGATCGCGAGTCGCAGTTGAGCAGGAGGACGAGGAGGACAACGAGGACGAGGAGGACAACGAGAGGAGGAGGACAACGAGAGGAGGAGGACGACGAGAGGAGGAGGAGAGGAGGAGGAGGAGGAGGAGAAGGCAACTTAGATAAAATCTAACAACCCTCACCTGGCAGGTGGGGAAAAAAGAAAACATAAATCCATGACGGGGGTCGGAATAGTTTGTGTTGTTTAAAAACGACATTTTTTTGGTTAATTCTTTATAGACTACCAAAGACGAGCGGTTTCTTACCAACACTTCCAAGGAAAAAAACTTCCTATGTAAAGACTCCAAGTGTCCCAAGCTGAAGAAACGCCAGGGGATACACCAACTCCTTGGGCGAAAAAACAATGGCTACACCGGCCGACCCTTGGGTCATTCCCATGGAAATCTAGGAACTTGTTATGTCATTCAGGAAATATATGGACATATACAATATTATCTGGTTGGTGGTTTCAAACATGACTTTTATTTTCCAGAATATATTGGGAATAATAATTAATCCCAACTGACGAACTCATATTTTTCAGAGGGGTAGGTCAACCACCAACCAGTATTATATAACTAAATGTATTCACACATACATCCACGCATACATAGACACATAGACATAGATACATAGATACACCGATGCATAGATACATGTACTCAGTTATACATATATGTGAGTAACCGACAAAATTCTTGTAATACGAATTTATTTTTGCTTCGCTTGGCCTTTCCGAGGTTGCACAAAATATTCATAACCGATAGGGGACGACCCTACACAGACACCCCATTTATGATACCTCCAGGAATACTGAAATCCTCACAACCGATTGGGGGAGACCCTAATTTGTGCATGGCATTAACTTTAACATATAATTTTAGTCCGCTACGATACACACACACATATATATATATATATATATACATACAGATACACATATACATAGACACGAAGATACGTATATACAGACATAGATAAATTGATAGACAGACAGACAGACAGACAGACAGACAGCCCGGCAGACAGACAGACAGACAGATAGATGTTCCATGTATAGAGATATACATACCTATATATACTATATACAGTATACGTAATAATGAAACATAGTCAGTAAAACAAAACAACACATTCAGAATAAACAATAATCATTCATTATCATAAATAATGATCAAGACTCATAAAGAAAGTTTACCGCGAGCTTTCTACTTGTTGTGGTCAACCGTAGACAGTTGGCTCCACCATCATTCATTCCGTGAAAAAAAAACTGTGCTTCCCCACACAGCCCGTAAACCGAAACCTATGCACATCCTACCCTCTGGTAAACATACAAAAAGCTATTGAAAATGGCCATTTATAGTGGATTTTCCCATTAAAAATGGTGATTTTCCATAGTCACGTTAGTTTACCACATCCTAGTATTTGTCCTTTATTATTTACCATAAAATTTTGTTGTTTGCTTCATTTTTTGAGGGGATGTCCCGTTGCAAGCGTGCTTAAAGGTTTTCCCCATGAAAAACCATGATATTGGTTCCTCATATATTTCTATAGATTTTCTTTATGAACACCAAATGTTGGTCGGGCAATCATTTTTTAACAAACGAAAAGATCAAACAGGTTATGTTTATACCCCAAGATCAAGAATCTAAACCTGTCTCCATGTTTGACTATGTTAGATAGATGGTAGGCAGCTGAAATATATAATCTGAAAAGGGTTGATTTCCAGTTTACGAAGTCTGATACTCAACTCCAGCGAATGGCAACGATATCATCATCACTCCTTGATCAAAACTGATTGATGAGTGGTCTTAGACAAGGTACTGTATACCTGTATACTGTATACCGTATACCTGAGTTAATATTGCCTCTTATCCATGTTTGCCATTGAAATCTTGCCTCCAGCGACTTTTTTGTATTAGGAACATCAGCAATGATACAAGGGGAGGTTTACCCCAAACATTGGGACATAGAAAAACCCTGCAAAGCCTCAATTGTTTGTAGTTTTTCTTCTCAACCAGCCCAGTGTCATAATTGTCATATGTTTGTTTGTAATTGAGTATCTCAACCACCGAGAAGCCCATTGTTTGGCGATCAAATTGCAATGCCTTCGAACATGTTTGATTTTCCCGTTCAAGATGTGATGATGCTCCTAAATGACAAGCTGACATGATTTTTCATTTCCCACATCCAACCACATAACATCACATAACATCAAACAATGTGTTTCAATGACAGCAACTGATGCCTAAATTTGAGCACCCCAATCGCCAAAACACGTCTCAAACCTTGGGGCCCAGGTGCCCAGAGTTTTTCCGATGGGTTCCCTACTGACCCTGTGCATCACAGGAACTGAAAGAGGTGACAAAAACATTTTGGAACTATGGAAATCAATAGAAATCACCCATTAATATACTACGTATACTACAATACTCATATAATATAATATATATATACACATGTTTGTATTATATATATATATTATATTATAATATTATAATATATTATAATAGTAGATAGCCATAGAAATCACTTCCCGTTAGGGTCCAAAATCCGCGACGTCGTCGTCGTCGTTTTTGACTGAGGCCCCCAGTGCTTGGAGTCGGATCCGCGGAATCGTTCCACTGCGGAGGAGACCAACAGATGGAGGGCCGGAGGGCCGGAGGGCCATGGCCCAGGATGATTTATCTATTAGATATATAACATAGGTAATCTAATATAACTATTTCCTATGTTTCTATAGTTTCTATAGCATAGTTTCTATTATAGATATAACATAGTTTCTATATAACATATTGTGATTTATATAAAGGATATAACATAGTTTCTATAGATATCCTCTGGTAACCCTCTTGTAAACTACCATAGCGAACTGGAAAATCCACCATTTTATAGCTGGGAAAATCAACTATAAATGGCAATTTTCAATAGCAAACTGTAACAAATTACCAGAGGGTATGATGGATTATGATGTATATTATGACTATGATATTAGATATACCATCTGGTTATGACTCACATAGCCATGGAAAATCACAATTTTTAATAACCATCTATTTCTATGGGCCATTGTCCATGGCTATGCTAAATAACCAAAGGGTATATATATAAAGGATATACATAGTTTCTATAGATATCCTGTGATATAATTCAAATGTTACCTGGTTGGTGGTTTGGAACGCGATACACACATATATATATATGTATATATGGAGGTTTCCTGTAATAGGGGTACCCCCACTTATCATCTATAGATGGATTTTATGTTATAAACCATTCAGCTATTGGGGTACCCCCATTTTAGGAGACCTCCATATATATATATATACACATATTGTTCAAGTCCGTAAATCACGATGTATATGACAGGATATGTATAGAAACATATAGAAACTAGATATGCATATGACAGGTATATGATATTTTCTCAGAATGATGATGATATATGATATATGATGATGTATATATGATGTATATGATGGTATACCTATATTTAATATTCAAAAAGTTAGATGATTTTGATGATTGCCCAGTTTTCTTCGTTCGATGTCAGTACCTAGATCCTCCACCAGTCAAAATGGTGCGTATTACCCCATTTTATTGGGGGGTATTTGGATCGAGGGTCTAGGTAATTATGAATATTATTCATGTGTAACGTATGAATATGATTTTTTTTTTTAAAGATCAGTTCAAATTGATGGTATCGGAAACATCGACGACGGATCCATTTAAGATTAGTTCACGTGTGCATGTAATTATTAACTGTATATAGTAATATACTAACGAATGTGTCTATGTTAGGTGCGATGGCTGGGCTGTGCGGGGTCAACATGGCTGTACTAGCCGGTCTATGCATTGCTGGTGTCGGTGCAGTTCCGACTTTACGTAGATAAAGAACCATAGCTATGGGGATTATACGTGGTTGTTCTTATGTTAATTATATACCAACTTATGGGGGTAAACTCACCAAAGTTGTACTGTACCCATCAAAATAGAGGCCAAGATGGTGTGAGGAATTCTGCACTCTACTCTTGAACGTATTACCACAATATTGGCAGGTTTACTGTTCCAGAGAATCCAGTGTTGTCAGTGGTCTTGAACAGAAATATATAATTGTCTTCTCGGGTCACAATTTCTGCATTTTCTGAAGGACATTCTTTAAAAGGCATGCTGCTCAATTTTGGATGTGTATATAACTATTGATGTATTTCTTGGAAATAAGCGTTTTTAAGACTAGTACATTTTAAACTAGACATGTCCTCTATAATTGATGCATTGTCGTGAAGGGTGCAGTACGCATTTTTGAGAGGATCACTACATGATGTGGGAAATAGATGGAAATTGTGCATGCTGTGCATGAAACTGCCAATGCCTTTCAAAATATTACTACATCTTGAACCGCTCCTTTTCAAAACATAGTGCTCCCTTTTCCCAGGAGTGCTGCGTTTTCAGCGGAATGCCACACTTTCAGAGAAATATTGCATTTTGTTTATGAACATTACTACTTAGACCTTCTGCATCTGAAACTAGGATTCTTGACGATGCATTCTTCATTTACAAGCATGTTACTTCTTTCCATGTATACTGCATCATGCAATAGACATTTGCATCTTTCAGCTGAAGGCCTGTTTAACAAAAGCAAAACTACCATCCAAGCACTCCATCTTTGGCATGCAAAGATTGCTTGAAACCATAAAAACAAACATGGAATTGGGTCCTGTTTGTTGTTTGTCTGGTTGTGTATTTCCCAGAGGCAACAAACTCCAGAGAAGTTGCAGATATAGCCAGATATAGCCATTGCAGGGCTTCCAACATGTGTAAAAAAAATCATGCAGTCTCAGGGCCTCAGGGTGTCCCATTCTGTAAAACTCACCCTGGCCTGCACCTCCCGAGCCGTTGGAGCCGTTGGAACCGTGGCTTCATCAGGAGACCCTGACGTTGTTCCGAACGCCGCGAGACCTTGAGTCCAGGTCCTGTCCGTCCTGGACGTCCGTGCTGCAAGCGGTGGAGATGTCAGACGTGAGATCTGGCTATCTCAGCCCCTGGGCTGACATGGTTAACCCATGGTGAACCCATCCAAAAATATATAGAAAATATATCGAAAATAGGTACAAAGGGTCATGGTTGTTAGCATCGTACAAAAAAACGGACTTTTCCCCCAATTTCATACGCATTTTGTATCTGGACACGGCTAACGTATTATGCTTGGGTTTACCGTGGTTTACCGGTTTACCATTTAAAATGCTGGACATATGTCCATGAGGAATCCGGAGGGTGGGACGTCAGCAGGCCTCAGATATAGTCAGGTGGTTGAAACCGGTCTCTCCTAAAAATGTGTAACTTGGGGTCCCAAATTTCTGTCAGAATTTCAAAATTTCGATAGATGATCATGGAATGCCATTCCTGACCGGCGGGCCGGTCCCTCGGATTTTCGCCCAAGACCCGGATGGCCCCGCTGTCCGCTGTCCGCCGAAGGTACCATCAATGCTAGCATGGTGGAGCGGAAGAAGAAGACATCCACTCCTCTCTGAGTCGGGTCACGCGTCCATCCCATCCCATGGCCAGTATCCCCAGGATCCCCATGATCAGCTCCGTAGGATCTGAGGTTTTGGGAAAAGAACGAGACAGTGCAGATTCTCAGTGCAATGTTATCACCAGTAATATCCATCTATCCATCTATCCATCTATCCATCTATCCATCTATCCATCTATCCATCAATCCATCAATCCATCAATCCATCAATCCATCAATCCATCAATCCATCAATCCATCAATCCATCAATCCATCTATCCATCTATCCATCCATCTATCTATCTATCTATCTATAGACCCAGGATACTGATTCAAATTTTTAAAAAACATTGATTTGTTCTACAAACTTGGAAGTACTGGAGATAATTGGAGACTCTTTCACATGATTGAGCCATGTTTCCACGGAAACTTCCAGCCAAGTTTGGGGGTGTCATTTCTCGACTCCCAAAGTTGAGACCCCACTAGGAACATAGGATGAGTGAGGCTATCATGACCCACCAAGCTGCTGTGAACGCGGCCAATGTTTCACGGGCATAGAAGCCCTTTTGTGCCCTGGGGGCTCAGAGTTTCTGGGTGCAAGTGGACTGTCACGTTCATGAGCACTTAATCCAAGCCTCAAGGCTTTGCGCTAGAGTATTGAAATGTATTGAATGTGTTTTCTTCAGAACTATGTATTTAATTGTATATATGTATATATACATAATTATATATATATAGTTATGATAATATGACAGACAAGTTGGGTTCAGGTGACCCTTGCACTCCCAGAACTTGTGTTGTGTCCAGTTTGACTGTTTTTTAGTTTAGATCATCCTGGCCCCAAAGGGGGCTGGGTGAGTTTTCTGGCATGTCCATTGAACTCATCGAACTTTGAACAGAGTGAGCTACCACAACTTGGCCGATTTCTCTTGATTTCTGGACTTATTTATAGAGTCAACTGTAGGGGCCAATTTTCGAAGGCTGTCTCAAAAGATCCATCTTTTCGGATGAATTTTGGGCCATGGGACTGTGATGAAGCCGTCCATTTTCCGTCTCAGCATTGGTAAACAATATTGGTTTGCCAGGGCTACCCATATCCAGATCCAGGTCTCTTTGGTTTCCAGTCAACGCATTCTGGCAGTCTGCGGTTTGCGAAAAAAAAACACCAGCTTGTTTGATGCGGATGATGAGCTAGCCGTGCAGCCAAGACAGTAAACATATGGAGTCACAGCAGCTGTTTAACAAAGCACTTGACATGTCCGGAAATGAAACGTGGCAGTTGGAAACTATTCATGGAGGTTTCTAGATGGCAAATTCATCGAAGTAAATGGTCGTTTTTCCAGCATGCCATGTTAACTTTAAAGATTTGTAGCAGGTTTGGCAGGTTTGGTGGTTATTTGCCGTGTAAAGATTTGTCAGCAACCAGTTCCTGGGGCAACTGGACAGTGGTTACACCAGCGCCTAAACGGCTGGGGGACTGCCTGAAGCTGGGATGGCGACGAAATCCTACAGTTGAGGTGGTTGATCCCATTATTTTGTTGGGCTAAAAAAACATCCTTTAGGTGGTGCAGGATTTGGTCACCATCCACTGTTTTGGTGTTTTGTGGAGAATTTGCCAGATGAACACATGATGCACTCACACAGCTGGCATGGGTCAATATGTTTGATACCAAAACTTTGAACCGTGTCCGGCAAGGTGATGCTGGTTCAAACTTGGTTAATCCGCTCGAAAATCCTAAAAATCTTCCGTGAATACTATATAGTACAACATGATGATCAAAATCGCTTTGTGATTTTTCACATCAACCCAGGTTTCGCGAAAATTCCAATCTAAAAACGCCAGCATTCTTGGAAGCCTTGGTAGATCCTAGACCCGATATACACTTTGTTGGCTATAGTTTCATGGCTTAATCTTAAGCCATACATGGAGTTGGATATTAGTTATCCAGCCAAACATAGGTAGGTTCCAATGTTTTAATGGCCTAAGAAAAAATGGGGACAAACCCCATCCCAGGTGAAATCATCACATTTTTTCCCCACCTGCCTGCCAGGTGAGGATCTCTATAGATACAAAGATGTAACTCCTCCTCCTCTTCCTTTATCCTCGCCTCTCCTCTCTTCTCGTCTACTTCTGTGCCAGCTCGCCACCAACCTCATATCGCGAGGTCCAGACGCCGTGGGCTGGCCTGGACGCGAACCTCATATCGCAAGCTCCGGACGGAAAGAATGTCAGAATAGATGCCAGATAAAATGCCAGAAAGAATGCCAGAAAGAATGCCAGAAAGAATGTCAGAAAATATGTCAGAAAGAATGTCAGAATATATATGCTATAATCTGCCATACATACTTCCAGATGGTATGTGAGAATCTATGTCAGAATAGTGTGTAAGGGTGGGGATTTCCTTCCATTTTCAGACCTAAGTGAGTGAAGTGTAGACCTGGAAATCGCCAGGACCTACCATGTGGAAATTCCGGCGGATGCATTTTCCGATGCACCTTGGATGGAGATGTGAATTTGTTGGAGCAAAACCTCCGAGATTTTTTCATCAATTTTGGATGAACATGATGAGCATCCATATTTTTTAGGTTTTAACCCATAGATAAAGGTAGGTGAAAACACTGCTGGGAGGTTCAGCAGCAATCGGGATTTCAGCGTTTAGACGGGATTCAATTTCTATTGTGCAACCAACGAATGAGCACTGGCTGCTAAACCATTATAAATGACGGTAAAGTTCCCATCAAATCACGACAATCGTCAACCAATCATTATTTATCACTAAAACACACACACATATTATACATAATTATATATATATATACATCATATATATATATATATATTCCGCTGTATTCCCTTTTACAGTGACAGTCAAAATCCCTATTAGATGACCATGATTCATCAACCAACATCGGATTCACGGAGTTGATCGTTGGGGGTTCCTGCGGTTCCAACTCTGCCAAGGTGGATTTTTTTGGGGGGGACCAAGCTAATAACCAGGTTTTAAGATGTTTTTAGATCATACTGTAATAGTTTGGACCAAATAGAGCAAACAATCTCTAGTATGGCTAAAAAGCATCAAGAACACACACACATATATATATATATTGATTGATTGTGTGGGTATATTTGGGTGAAGTATAACAAGCTCACAACAACGTCAAAATGAATGATGGTAAGCAATGGAAACCACACCAAGACCAGACCATTTCAGGTACTCGTATGTAAACTATTACAATTCAGCCAGATATGTGATCATCATGCTATATCCATATGCTATCCACAATGTAATTATTCATGTATTCATATTCATATTCATATTCATATTCATATCATCATCATCATCATCATCATCATCATCACCATACCATTTGGTTGTTTAAACATTGCCCTGGGCAATCGCTGTTTTTTTTTTTACTGGGTAAATAATCATTTTTACAATCGAACTAAATGGGCCATGGCTTCCGCACCTATGATATGTCCTCATTTGGTGAATCCGACCAAGCTCAATCCATACTAGCTGGGAATCTGTTTCAGCCCATGGCATATGTTTCCCAAGTTACCTATTTGTTGCCACAGGTAAAGCGCTTATCAAAGGAAGTTGGGAAGCAATACTTCCGTGTTACGGTACATAACAATACATCAGAAAAGAATTGACCTTGATGAAGGGTGGTGTGCGACTGTACATTACATCACAATACATCAGAAAAGAATTGACCTTGATGAAGGGTGGTGTGCGACTTTACACTACATAACAATACATCAGAAAAGAATTGACCATGATGAAGGGTGGTGTGAGATTTTACACTACATGACAATACATCAGAAAAGAATTTTCCTTGATGAAGGGTGGTGTGCGACTGTACATTACATAACAATACATCAGAAAAGAATTGACCTTGATGAAGGGTGGTGTGCGACTTTACACTACATAACAATACATCAGAAAAGAATTGACCTTGGTGAAGGGTGGTGTGCGACTGTACATTACATAACAATACGTCAGAAAAGAATTGACCCATCAGAAAAGAATTGACCTTGATGAAGGGTGGTGTGCGACTGTACATTACATAACAATACATCAGGAAAGAATTGACCTTGATGAAGGGTGGTGTGCGACTTTACACTACATAACCCAATACATCAGAAAAGAATTGACCTTGATGACGGGTGGTGTGCGACTTTACACTACATAACCCAATACATCAGAAAAGAATTGGCCTTGATGAAGCGTGGTGTGAGACTTTACACTACATAACAATACATCAGAAAAGAATTGACATTGATGAAGGGCGGTGTGAGACTAAGGGAAGTGGTGACGAAGGGAGGTGGTGACAAAGGGAGGTGGCGACTTTGGGACGTGGTGACGAAGGGAGTGTGGTGACTTTGGGAAGTGGTGACTACAGGAAGTGTTGACGAAGGGAAGTGTTGATGAAAGGAATGCTGAGAAACGCATAGTAATGGTTGCATGAATGCTCAATGGGCTTTGTTTTGGGGAGGAAGCCGGAGCACGAAACCTTGTATTTTTCCGTGTAAAGTGGTTGCAGCCGGCGATGAAAGGTACCTCGTGTGTGCGGCGGGTGCGGCTGCGGTCGTTTCTGCCGCGAATTGGTTCCTCTTCTGTGTGCTGCAACGAGTGGTTGCGTCTATGTGCGTAGTTCTTTGCGTTTCTTGAATCTATGGTTGCAGATCGCAGTGGAAGGCCGCATGATTGTTGTAGTCTGATGTTGGCATGTGCGTAGAGAGATGTGGGTTAGCCACGATGCTGCGAAACGCATAGTAATGGCTGCATGAATGCTCAATGGGCTTTGTTTTGGGGAGGAAGCCGGAACACGAAACCTTGTATTTTTCCGTGTAAAGTGGTTGCAGCCGGCGATGAAAGGTACCTCGTGTGTGCGGCGGGTCGTTTCTGTCGCGAATTGGTTCCTCCTCTGTGTGTGCTGCAACGAGTGGTTGTGTCTATGTGCGTAGTTCTTTGCGTTTCTTGAATCTGTGGTTGCGGATCGCAGTGGAATGGCTGCGTCAAGGTTGCTGGGCGCCGCGGCTGCATGCGTAATACTACTCTCTTTTTGCAGCTGGAGATCGTAAATCGTATTGGAGTGGGTGCGACAGTGATTTGTCAGCAGATTTTTTCAATTTTGGCGCTAGTAATTTTCCTTTTACAATTCCTTTTAAAAAGTGCTTCAACATTGAACATCGTCTTTTTTCGCTTTGGCGTCGAGATCCCCGGTTTTGGAACTGCAATTTCCGACGCCATTGCGCGTAATTCTTTTGTGTTTTGCAACTCAGTCTCCTCAGGTCGCATTGAAGTGGCTGCGTCAAGGTTGCTTGGTGACGCGGCTGCATGCGTAATACTATTGTGTTTTGCAGCTGGGCATCGTAAATCGTATTGGAATGGCTGCATCAAGGCTGCAATCGTGATTTGTTATCGGATTTTCTCAATTTTTGGCGCTAGCAATTTTCCTTTTCAAATGCCTTTTAAAAAGTGTTTCAAAATCGTCTTTTTTCGCTTTGGCGTCGAGATCCGGTTTTGGAGCTGCAATGAGCTGCAATTCCTGCTGTGACTATGTACAAGAAAGCTTCTCTGTGTAAAAACTTGTTTCTGTAAAAGCTTGCTGTGTGTAAAAGATTTTGTGTGTAAAAGCTTGCTGCGTGTAAAAGCTTCTCTGTGTGTAAAAGCGTCTCTGTGTAAAAGTTTCTGTGTGTGTAAACGCTTGCCATGTGTAAAAGCACTGTGTGTAAGTGTTCTGTGTGTAAACGCTTGCTGTGTGTGAACGCTTGCTGTGTGTAAAAGCTTCTCTGTGTAAAAGCTTCTTGTGTGCAAAAGCGTCTCTATGTAAAAGCTTCTCTGTTTAAAAAGCTTGCTCTGTGTAAAAGCTTCTCTGCGAAAGAACTTGCTGCGTGTAAAAGCTTTCTTTGCGCAAGTTTGTTTAAAACGCTTGCTGTGTGTAAAAGATTTTGTGTGTAAAAGCTTGCTGTGTGTAAAAGCTTCTCTGTGTGTAAAAGCGTCTCTGTGTAAAAGTTTCTGTGTGTGTAAACGCTTGCCATGTGTAAAAGCACTGTGTGTAAGTGTTCTGTGTGTAAACGCTTGCTGTGTGTGAACGCTTGCTGTGTGTAAAAGCTTCTCTGTGTAAGAGCTTCTTGTGTGCAAAAGCGTCTCTGTGTAAAAGCTTCTTTGTTTAAAAAGCTTGCCGTGTGTAAAAGCTTCTCTGCGAAAGAACTTGCTGCGTGTAAAAGCTTTCTTTGCGCAAATTTGTTGAAAAAGCTTGCTGTGTTTAAAAACTTCTCTGCGAAAGAACTTGCTGTGTGTAAAAGCTTTCTTTTTGCCAACTTTGTATCACAAAGTAGTACTGGGACGTACTTTGTGCAAGGTTTGTAGTACAAAGTAGTACTGGGAAGTGCTTTGCGCAAGCTTCGTAGTACAAAGTAGTACTGGGAAATACTTTGTGCAAGCTTTGTAGAACAAAGTAGTACTGGGAAATACTTTGTGCAAGCTTTTTAGTACAAAGTAGTACTGGGAAATACTTTGTGCAAGGTTCGTAGTACAAAGTAGTACTGGGAAGTACTTTTTGCAAGCTTTGTAGTACACAGTAGTACTGGGACGTACTTTGTGCAAGGTTTGTAGTACAAAGTAGTACTGGGAAATGCTTTGCGCAAGCTTCGTAGTACAAAGTAGTACTGGGAAATACTTTGTGCAAGCTTTGTAGAACAAAGTAGTACTGGGAAATGCTTTGTGCAAGCTTTGTAGTACAAAGTAGTACTGGATTTACTTTGTGCAAGGTTTCTAGTACAAAGTAGAGTACTGGGACGTGCTTTGTGCAAGGTTTGTAATACAAAGTAGTACTGGGAAGTGTTGTGTGCAAGCTTTGTAGTACAAAGTAGTACTGGAACGTGTTTTGTGCAAGCTTTGTAGTACAAAGTAGTACTGGAACGTGTTTTGTGAAAGCTTTGTAGTACAAAGTAGTACTGGGAAGTGTTTTGTGCAAGCTTTGTAGTACACAGTAGTACTGGGAAGTAGTTTTTGCAAGCTTTTGTAGTAGACATCAGTACTGGAACGTGTTTTGTGCAAGCTTTGTAGTACAAAGTAGTACTGGGAAGTAGTTTTTGCAAGCTTTTGTAGTAGACATCAGTACTGGGAAGTAGTTGACATGAAAATAGCCAAGAAGAATTTAGCCGACATATGTGAAGACATGAAATGAGATGAGAAGAGCTCAGATGAGATGAGTTGAGATAAGTGCAAGTGTGAAGTGTGGAGTGTGGGGTGTGAAGAGTGCAATGTGATGTGTGAGGAAAGTGTGTGCTTGACGTTGCATTGCACCGGGGTCGCGCGCGGGTCATGTTCTTGGACAGCAACACTGCAGCAGCTTCGCACAAAGCACGCACGCACGGGCCTGGCTGGCGCACGGCGCATGCAAGTTCTCGAAGTAGTACTGGGATGTGATTCATGAAAGCTTAGATGACATATGAGAAGAGATGAGATGAGAAGAGATGAGCTGGGATAAGGTGAGAAGAGCTCAGATGAGATGAAGTGTGGAGTGTGAAGAGTGCAGTGTGAAGCGTGGGGCGTGAAGAGTGCAGTGTGAAGTGTGGAGTGTGAAGAGTGTGAAGAAAGCAGTGAGAAGTGAGAAGTGTGAAGTGTGGACTGTGAAGTGTGAAGTGTGGAGTGTGAAGTGTGGAGTCTTAAGAGTGTGAAGTGAAGTGTGGAGTGCGAAGAGTGCAGTGTGAAGTGTGGAGTGTGAAGTGTGTAGTGTGGAGTGTGGAGTGTGAAGAGTGCAGTGAGAAGTGTGAAGTGCGAAGTGGAGCTTCAAATGTGACATGTGAAACAGGACACAACTTTCGCAGAATGCACGCACGCACGGGCTTGGCTGGCGCACGGCGCATGCAAGTTCTATAGATGAGAAAGGTCTTATATATCCCTAAGGCAACTTCCGCCCCGCCTCGTGCGGGTACTACTGGTATTTTACAGTGGATATAGATATATACGTCTAAAGAATATGTACAGATCCCAGCTGATGCGGTTTCACGAATGGATATAGCCGATCTATTTTTAAAAAAAGCTACCCCAGTTGCTTTCCCCAAATAAAGTTGAGAAGATTGTTTCACCCATCAACCGCCCAGCCATGTTTTTTTTTTTCAACTGGAGCCTCAGGCCATCACCGTGGGACTTCTGCGGCGGAATCTGCTTCCAGCGTGGGGATGCCGAAAGTTACGAGGAGAATGAGAATGAAGACTATGATCAACTATTCAGTGGATTTCTAATGATGATGATAGTTAATGAACATGATAGTTGAATCATGATTATAATGATGATGAAAATGATGATGATTCATTAGTCATGATACTTAATTATCATCAACCATCGTTAATCATGAATGGTTGATGAACTATCATTAATGAGAATAAGGAGGAGAATTAATTGGAATTCTCATCAAATGGTCATTAAAGATGGTTAATGATGGTTACTGTAATCATGATAGTTAATTATCATTAACCATCGTTAATCATTAATAGTTGATTAACTATCATTAGTGAGAATTAGTTTGATAATTTTCATTGGAATTCTTATCAAATGGTCATTAATGATGGTTAATGATTGCTAATCATGATGGTTAATGATAATGATATTAAGTTTAACCATGACTAACCATCATTACAATGATAATGTGGTAAAACTATGATTAATATCCCACATTCATGATGGTTTTCATACTGGTCATTTTCATGGTTTTCATAGTGGTTATTCAGCATCATTCTCATAGGGGATAGTAGGATCATCATGGGATTATAGGTGGTATGATTACCATTCCCAGTCATGGGTGGTTAATGGCGTTGTGTTACCCACATTAGCTTCCAAGTAGCATAATGAGATGGGGTAGAGGTATTTCTATGGGGATGGAGATATGATGGGAAATTAGGCCTGGGAAATGATAATAATGATACTTTGAAAACAATGAGAATGATGATCTTGACAACAGTGATGCTATTGATCGTGTTGATTGATATGATTTAATATTGATTTTTTTGAGGGACACTAATGATAATGATGATCACCACCATAATAATGAAAATGATAGCAATAATGATGATGATGATGATGATGATTGTGACAGTAGTGATACACTGTTGATGGGGTTAATATTGATAATGTATCGGTGATAAGGCCAATACTGAAAATAGTAGTGGCAATAGTGAAAACCCATGATAATAACGATGATAATAGGGATTACAATAATGACTATAATCATGGTGACAATGACACCATTGATGGTGCTAATAATCATAATGATGATGATGATGGTAGTGGCAATTGTGATAGTAATGAAGACAATGATAACAATGTTAATCATGATAATATTGATTTTAATGAACATAATGATAATGATAACCATGGAAATAAATAGTTCCTATGGATCGAAGTGCCTTGTGCGCAGTATTTGGGGTATGATGCACTGGGGGTCCGCCGTGCCTTCTCAGAAATGATTTGGATTTGTAGGATTAATAATCCAGGATATTAAATTGGTCCTAAAGAGGAGTTTACAATTCCTAAATTTGTTTTATATTTTCATGATTAGCCCTAATAGTCCTAAACAGTACGATCGGCTCCTAAAACAAGGTTATCCATTGACTAATAAACGCAACGAATTTAATAATAGGGGGGGTGCCAATGTTGATAGTATTCAATAGTAGTAAGTTGTCACAATTTCTGTGGTAATCCCGCCAATAGATTCACTGTCCGGATAATGAGTCCCCTAAATTAAAAGCCTCCGCGAAAGTTGAATAAGTCAACAAAATTCTTGGATGCTTTTGATAGAGCATCCCAAATTAATATTAACCATAGTTCACCCAATCTTAATAGATAGTTATCACTAGTTTGCAGTAATCCCTAAGACCTCAAATGATTTGATCCCTTATGAAGATAAGTTGAAGTTCATATCCCATGCAATGTATTTGTTCAGAGAGGGTGTCACATGTTGATCCCTCGTGAAGATAAGTTGTAGCCAGTGCCCCATCAATTTGTTTGTTCAGAAGGAGTGGCGAATTTGGACCCCTTATGAAGATAAGTCCGACTCAATGTATTTGTTGGATTGTTTATATATGTGTATACATGGACATATGGATATACATATGATGTTGTTGGAGGTTGTACATTGTACATTTGCATGTAACATACAAACATGTACATATACATTTACATATACATATGTGTGTATATATATATATTATGCATATATATATAATTTATATTTATTTATGCACATGTTCGTGTATGCATGATTGGTGCAGAAGGTCACCGTCACGCACATGTACATATATATATATATACACACAGTTATATATATATATATCGTATATATAATGTATATATCCCATTTTTTATCCAATTGGAGTTGATGAAACGCCCAAATTTTGGTGTTGAAACCTCAGGTGGATCTCCATCTTAGGTCGAGTTTCAGTTTCTCAGTCCATCCAGATACAGAGGGTCCTGTGGGGACCTCAGCAGCGACGCTGATCTGACGTGACTGAGGATTGGTGGATGTGGAGATCTTGACAGGTGTACCTAGACTCTCCAAGTACCACCCGGACCCCCAAAATATTATGTTATTTGACCACATGATTTGAAAACTTTTAGCCGTTTAAGAGGTAAGAGGTACTTGGAGGGTCTAGGTAATTAGGATTATAATTATAATCTATGATTATCAATATGTTGAATTTTGGTCATTATTTTTTACAAATGTTCATCAATTCAAAAGAAGAACGCGACGTCAAACCCAAAGTCATTGATCCTGGAACTCCACTGGGGAGCCACCGACGGGACCATCCCGGTATAACTCTGGGGATCAAGGGCTGGTGGTTAATCATTGATAATTCTTAATTATAGGTTTCATCATTAGTGATATTCATTTTTGCAACACTTATCAGTAATGATTATCAATCAGGGGATGAGGAAATTACCTACTCTAAGTACTTTCAATTGGCTGACACTTGGGTTTTAAACATGGCAAACATATATCTAGACTTGGATCTCTTGGGTGCAGGGTGAAACCACCTTTGAATTCGGGGGCCCACTATCACCTGCAAATCCGAAATGGATTTTTGTACCCTGAATCAGCCCTGAACCAAACATGGCGAGCTGGGAAAACCTGAAACTAAATGGAGATTCATAGCCAAGAAGATCATCAAACCAAATGGTGATGCTCCAGCCATGTTTGATTGCCAGAGGGTATGTGCCAGCAATCCATGACATATAACCTCCCCGATCACGACAGGGAACACGTCTATTCCTTGGGAAACTGGTATACAACTAAAGGAAAATATGGGAAAATGGAAGACAACTTTGCTCTTGATCCTGGCCGAAATCCGGGGGTCAGCCGTGAGCCCAGCAAGTTTCGAAAAATGGTCCGTTCACCGGCCGTGTTGCCAAACTCAGGTCCTGTTCTCTTCGTTGCCTGCAAACAACTCCGGTGATGTGGACCCTTTGCTCAAGAGCATGCTATGGAACATGCTAGTACCGCCTATAGTGGCTGCATCTACAACATGTTATATCTATAGTATCTATCATATCTATAATTATATTTGTGATATGTTGTAATATGTATGATATAGCATACATATATATACATGGTTTATCACACCTATGATGATGACGATACATATATATATATATATAATATATATATACACACATCCGCCAACATGTGGTTGTTGCACGTAGGCAACATACCATTCTATCCATGGTGAATCATGCCAGCATCACCAGGCTATGAAGCCAGATTTCTGGGGATGAAAATGGATGATCAAACCAGTCCCTCATGATGCATATTGGTGATATACAATCTACATCATGCTATGTGTATATACATATACATATATTTATATACTTCTATATATATGTATAATATACATATGAATATGCTACCCCCCCAAACCTACCTTTTCAATATGTCCTTGGCCTCTTTTCCGTACCATGGTAGCACTGCAGTGGATCGTTGGACTTTGGATCGATGTGTAGTACGCAAAAAATCGTGCTGTCGAAGGTTAGTACGCACGAATTTTTGTTGAAAGCAACAGTGCCTAGACTTTCAATGTACAATGCTTGTAAACAAAAACATGTTTCCCACACTTTTTTCCCTCTTTTTACATGAACAGTGCCTGTCAAGGAAAGCCGTTTTTCTTTGAATCAGCAAAAACTACCTTTTGAAAAGGAAGGCACTTTTATTCCGAAGAGATACCTGCAATCTTTAAATAAACATATGTGTTGAAAGATGTTGTTCTTGTCGCGTAGATTACGTCATCATAATAATGCCACCGACCAGGATTTTTCATGCGAAGCATTATTGCACCTGTTTGAATAATGGTTCTTATTCATTTCTTGAAACTATTTTGCCAAGCATTGCGTCCTGCAAGGATTCCCATGCCATCATCATCATCATCATCATCATCATCATGCATTTTTCTTTCAAATATGGTTTCCTTCAAGGAATACTATTGGGCGTTCTAAACTGAGCACATATTTAGGTGTGGAAGTAAACAATGCACACATGAAATGAAATGTGTGCTTCAATTTATCACAATAATTCACAATATTATATGTTCAACAAATACAACACCTTTGAAATGAAAACCACCTCTTGTGGAACAATTCTTCCAACATGCTACATCTACCTTTTCAAAAGAAATGCACATGTGTCCAAATATTTGTGCATCATCTTTAAGAACAACAAAGCACTTTGTTGAAAAGGCCTTGGTTTCATCAATTAGGTATTTTCTTCAAGAGAACAGTGCATGTTCTGCAAAGTCATGCTACATTTTTGGATGAAATATTATTTATTTCAAGTAAAACTGCTTCTGTTTTCAAAATGCCATGTATTCTGCCGTTTTTTTGTGCAACCTGTTCCTTCCTGGAAGAAATATTGTATTTTATCCGATGGTTATACGCTCATTGTTTGACATGTTTACATGTGTATAATGTAAAGAAACAACAGATACTACCTCATCGAAATGAATAGTGATATTTCCACGAACACTGACTAGTTTCATTTGGTTCAATGGAATGTTAACCATTGAAACGCATTTTGTTTATGGAATGCTGCTCGATTTGAATGAGAGTGTGTGATTGAAAAGCCTGTTCTTGTCAATTAGTTTTTTCTTCAAGAGGGAAATGCTCTGTTGAATTCTGTTGATCATTCTTTTTAATAATTCACAGTGTGTTCGTTGACTTTTTTCAGAATTGGGGAAAAGATCTAAAGTGGAAACTCGTTCATGGGAGTTAAATCAATCCCACCCACTGAAGGAAAACTCAAGATGGATGAATTTCCAGAGGAATGCGTTCAGAATGCATTCTTCCCCCAATCTAAGATCTAAGATTTGCTCAGGAGTCTTGGGGGAATCTTAGATCCAAAGTCTAAGCTTTGCTCAGGAGTCCTGGGAAATCTTAGATGATAGATTTTGGTTCGGAAAGTCTTAGATTTCCTCAGGAGTCCTAGGGGAATCTTTGATCATAGATCTTAGATTTAGCAGAATACATTCTGAATGCATTCTTCCCAGAATGCATGCATTCTTCCCAGAATGCTATCATTGAAGTCGAGTTCAATCAGACGAAATAGCATGCTTACTACACTACTGACTATTTGATATATGATATCTGTGTGTGTATGTATATGCATTACTGTATGTATATACGTATATATATATATATGGTACCCCCTCTTGAAGCTTCTGCCACAATTTCCTCAAAATAGGCCTAAACATTATTTCCCAAAATATTGCAAATCATATCATAAATACAAGTAAGCGTAGTAAAAAGGTAGTTTTTTTGGGGGGAGAGGGATACCATGTATATAGATATCTACATCAATAAATATCTTATAATCTCATCAATTTACTGTAGCATGTTGCTTTCCCGCCTTTTTGTCACAGAAAAATGCAGTAGTCGACGAGCTGCAGGAAGCATCTCTGGAGTCCATTCTGTTGGTGTTCGATGAGGAAATTGAGGTGCCCTTCAGGTCAAGTGAAGAGATCCATAAGTTTGCGATTCGTGGAACATCACCTACCCTCTGGTAAACGTTTACATAGCGAACTGGAAAATCACCATTTTTAATGGGAAAACCAACTATAAATGGCCATTTTCAATAGCTATGTTAAATTACCAGAGGGTATTTCAAAAAAGGTAAATCCACCGTTTTTTTCTATGGGTCATTTGAACAATAGGTCTGTTAGTGTAGTGGAGAGTACTAAACTATAAAACAAGTTTGTAAAGCAATCGTAAACCATTTCCAGTTTTCCATTTTTTTGAATTGGTGGTATCAATCATCAAAATATGGATGGTTCATGACATTGCTTTACCAAGTGGGATCCACCTATGATTGGGTTACCCTTGCATGGTTGAAAGCCCAGGGCAAAGACTTGTTGCAGTATGAAAACTCATTGGGCTATTGGTCCGGTCGATTCGCGTTGGCCGGATGTTTTGGTAGTTTGGTACTTCCCGCTATATTCCTGTTATGTTTAGGTCTTCGTGTTTGAATGATCATTTAGAAGTTATTATCATCAGTACATCCAATCTTGATGGAGACCCGTCCCATTTTATGGTGGCAACGGCAATGTTCACCATTCGGCTTTGGTCACCTTGGTCAATTTTTCAAAACGTGTCCAGTGAGCAATGAAGACTATTAGAACATAAACGACTTACAAGTGGGTTTATAACCCCATCTAACTATAGATATATCCCGCTCATCAAATGTACTTATTGTGGTCATAGCTTTTAGACCAACTTAGTTAATCATTTGAGCAGTGTCAAAACATGTTCGTTGGTGGATTGTGTATTGTTTCTAACAAAAACACATAAAATTCTGCTTGGTGACTCTGCTTGCGTGGTCGCAAATTGCAAATCCCATAGTTTATCATCATGTTCCCTGTTAAGTAGATGTTAATAAATCTAAATTGCTAGCAATGTTTATCCATGTTTTGGGGTGTACCCGTGTACCCCCTTTCCAGATACACCCACATATAATCTTGTTTGCTATATAATATCCCAATACATTTTCATGCAATCCTTGGTTGTATATCCAATTTTTAAATCCCATAGAAACCCATCATCTCCCCATATACCCAATTATAAACCATTACCCCACATATCCCACTAGAACTCCCATGCACACATGAATCCTTTATGGATATTTATGGCTTAAATCCACCAAATTTCGCTGGACCGCACTGTCCAGGCGGTTCAGAGTGACTTTAGCGTGCTGGGCAGCGCTTTGTTACGACCCATGGAAGTGCCGCAGCTGGAGATGCCTCCAGGCCGTACCGTTTATCTCGCTGCGCCAATGATGGTCTAATCTGGCCACTGGCCAGTGATGTATAATGTGGGTAAAACAATGCCATAAACATTGTGGTCATTAATGGTTAATAGTGGTTATTCACCATCATTATCATGAATTCTTATAGGGAATAGTAGGATAATCATGGGATAATGGGATCAATATCCCCCAGGAAAATCAGCATTTTTATAGGTGGTATGGTTTCCATTCCCAGGAAAATGGGTGGTAAAAATGACATTGTGTTACCCACATTAGCTGGTTTATTGGGGATTGTTGTAACCCATGGTAGGGAAACCTTTTAACCAGCATAATGAGATGGGATAGAGGTCTTTCGATGGAGATATGATGGGAAATTAGGTGTGGGAAATGATCATACCCTCTGGTTTTCCAAAATGGCTTGCTGGAAAAACAACCATTTAGTTCCATGATTTTCCCAGCGAACTAAACATCCAACAAAAAAACACTATAGGGCATTTCGCTAGCCACGATTGGTTACTGGAGGGTAATGATGATAATGATTAACATGATAGGAAGGAGTAATAATAAGTGAATGATAGTACATCTTACTAATAATGATAATAATAATTAATAATACATCATAACTATAATGATATATAATAACTATAGTGATATACACAATTATATAATGACAACACACATGATTTGTTTAATGCTTATGTTGGAAGCACCGATTCTTGGATGATCCCACCATCCGCAGCTTCGATGTGGATCCGAACCTGAACATGGAGGGTTTTGTTTTACGCTGAAACCAACAAGAACTGGGATAAATTGGGGCTATGAAGCAACCCAATCTTTGGAATATGTGGGAAAGTGTCTGAACATCTGAAAATGGTGCTAGACTTGATGGGAATGGATGGGTTGCTGGGGGTTGCTGGGATGATTCTTGATAGTTAGCCAGTGGATCATTCCCGAAAATTCCCTACGTTTAGCACAAGTAAGAATTGGGGGTATGAACCAACTCAATATTTGGGAAAGTGTCTAGTCTGAAAATGGGAAAAAAAACGGCCTTTGAATGGCGAACATGTTTTGGGTGCTCTTTTTAAAGATAACCCATTGTACGATAATATAGGATGGCTATGCCAAAATTGTGGCCTTCACTGCCAATTTATGACAACATCGATATATATATATACATTATATAAAAGGAATTTTATGAGTTTAATCATCCTTGATTTTGAGGTTCTTTTGTGGTTTTTAGACGTTCTCAGACGCCACATTCAACACCCCAAAGCAATGTTTGGAGGGAACCGGGAAGCAACAAGGATGGCTGGTTGGTGGTTTGGAACCATGGACTGGATTATGACTTTCCAACTTTCCCATCATATTGGGGAATGTCATCATCCCAACTGACGAACTCCATCATTTTTCAGAGGGGTAGGTATACCACCAACAATATCCAACAATGTTAAACTGATCAAGAGCTGTTTATGAACAACGGATAAAAACGGGCAAGCTGCAATTGTCGGCATGTCCAAAGTGTTACTGATTCGTAATGTGTGGAATTTGAATCAGCAGTGGTGGATCTCACTTCGAGGGCAGCAACTTCCTGTGGTTGCCGACAGTTCATTGGTGTATTGATGTGTATTGTAAAGATGTTACGGCTGGGGTATGTCTACACCCCCCGTCAAACAAAAATAAAAACACGCATCTCCACTTCTGACAATCCTCATTAATTCATGCCCTTCAGTGCCCTTCAGTGCCCTTCAGTGCCAGGAGAAATCGACTTGAATCCGGAAGTTGGAATACTTACCTTGACCTTCAATGTAGACATCGAGGTCACCTGGGTCGCACTGAGTGCGACGCTGTTTTTTTTTTTACGTGGGCAGCTTGTTGTTGTTTGTGTTTGCTGCAAATTGAATATGAATATGCGATATGGTTGGGTATGGAATTGGAAGGTTGAAGGAATTCGAAGGTCATGGGCACCGAACCTCCTGCTGGTTTTTGATGTTTTTTTTGTGCAAAGTGCTGTACATGTCATGCCGATGGCAAGTTCGACCCCAATCTGGCACAGATCAAGATGATTAAACATTGCAGGTCATCAATTTGCAAACGCGTGGATGTATTCGAATTACATGCTTAGTAGCAACTGAAGAACATGGATAGAACATGCAGGCTTCGGTAAACCTATCATCGAATTGTCTGGTTTTGTAGATCATTATTGTGTATCCATCAATGCGGATCATATGTCCATGTTTCGAAGGTATACAACCATTTTCACAAGTTACTGTAGATGCTAGTTAGTATATGAGTAACCATGAATAACCGGCAAAATTATTGTAATACTATTAAGTCTTGCTTCGCCTTAGCCTTGCTGAGGGGTGTGCAAAATTTTCTTTTCCGATAGGGGACGACCCTAATTTGCGTATGGCATGCAAAATAAACAAGTAATTTGTTTGCCATTCATATCATTCTATATGATTTGTATATATAATTATATAATATATATATATATTATATATGTACATGTATGAATGTATATGTATATATAATTATATATATATATACATGTAGATGTTTTTTCTTTTAATGTATGTAGAGTTCTCAGCTTGCAAAGTAACGCCTTGTATATTTGCAGGTCATATTTTCAAGCCAGACCTCTCTTTTTAAACCATCCTACCTGGGATTATGATCACTGCAAGTACCACACCGTGGACACCCCAGTTACTGTATAAGTTGGTAAAACCCAGTTTTATAACCTACTTGTTAACCAACATAGACCAACTACAACCAACTTACACCTATCCTTTGGGAGGCCCTTCCGAATGTGCAACTTGGCCCCTTTGCCCCACGCAACGTGGACACATAGGCGGGTCATGGCTTCTTCCATATCTTGCAACGCTCGGACACGGGCACGCTGCGTCACTGAGCCGCGCTCAAAAAACGGCTGGAGATGAGTCGACATGTGTTTTTGTTGAAAGCAAGGAACATGGAGATAATACAATGAGGATTTTAAGGGGACGATAAGATATATATATATACATAATCATACATTGCATATACATACATATATATATATATGAGTAATATCAAAGTTCAAAACCACTGTTGTTTGAACATTAGTTCGGGGATTATACTACCCTTGTAATATTGGGCACTATCATAATCCATGATGGTCCTCCCGTTCTTAAAATGCAATGACAAAGGGTTTTTATTATTGCTCCAATGGTTTTATAATTAATGCCGATAGAATGGGTTTATAACTTGGATAGATACAACCAACGTTGAGAATTAATTGATGAACATGGGGTATACCCACCATTTCTGGCCATGTTTCAAAACTGATTGACATTGATGAACTATTTATTTGGTTGATATAGGTGTACACTATTTGCAGACAAGCCCACATCAGCAATTTCGAGTAAAGTGGCAATTTTAACAGGAGATGAAAGCAACGATTGTGGAACCATAGTGGGGATGTAAGGGGACATAGTCGGCAATCATTCTGATGCTTGATGACGTGTGGGTTTGTCGCGAGATGAGTTATTGCATGTGTACAGACATGTTTATGGCATTGTTCATGGATTCGTGGGGAAAACGGTGATACCGTGTGGTAACGAGACCCTCAAAGGGATGCAGAAGACCACGGGCAGTATATCCTTTTATGTGGCAGTTGCATGCAGTCTTCCGCGAGATTTCCCTTTAGAAAAAGACAGGCAGATATATCTCAACCCAGATTTTTTGTTTGGAAAGCAAACACCTCAATTGGCTTTAGCGATCGCGGATAGGATATAGTTGTGTCAAGAGTGCGTTAATGTTCTTCTTGTATTCAACCAGAGAAGTTCTCCTGTCCACTTTGAGGGAAAATGCGGGACGCTTTTGAGAGAAAAAGCGGGACGTATCAACTGTTGGATTACTAAAACTGCATGTTGGATATGTTGGTCGGTGCTTGAAATATCATCATTATCATCAGGGGTTGGTACCCTCATCCGCGGGAATTGATGTCGGAGCTTAGGTGGAAACGTCACAGAGTATGACGTTGACTTCATCAAAGAGGCGTCTCAGCGGGCGGGATCGCAAGCAGATCGGTTAAAATAGGCAGGTCATCTGGAGGCATCATGTCCCTGGGACTTGTACCACCTCCAAATATGTCGCTGACAATATGACAATCTGATGCGACTCAATATGATGGCATGTGTATGGCTTTTATGCATATTATGAATGACAGGGTTCCTAAGATGAGGATGTCCACAAGCCATTATCAGTTTTAGATTAAAACATATCAATAGTTCATAGTTTCAATCCATATGAATGTGGCTAGTCATGCCCCTGTTTTTCCAGTGATATTATATACCAATAAGTATAGACTCTTACACAGAATACCTAGAGGGCCAGTTAACTTCTGTTTTTGGGGTTGCTAATAAAAAGAACATCTATATATATATATATACATAATTTCAATTTTCACTCCAAAATGCTCATGTATCAAAACATCATGAAACCCATAAAACATCGATTGAAGCCCACCAAACTCACTTCCCCACAGCTTAAGCAGCGACCTCAACCGAAATGGGGACTGTGGCAAGTCATCAAAACCTGTCAGGATAGAAGATGAATCAAGTTCATATTCAATAAACCTCCGTATGGAAAGCACGGCAGAGAAGACCCATTGGAGATCCCCAATATGACACTCACAAAGAAAAAACAAACGAAATGCTTTCAGGAGAAACATCAGATTGGCACATAGATGAAGAGATGAGCAATTCAATTGCTTGCGCCAGTTGGTTGCTACCAGTTTGAAATGAAGTTCAGCCAGCACATGCTCAACCAAAAACTAGGTGTTTCATGTTTTTATCATTTTTAATTATTCCAAGAGCTTGCTTCATCACAGGATCCTGTCAGATTGAAGCAGGACCTTGAAGGCCAAGTCTGGCGCAAATTCGTTTCTGCAAACTTGTCGTAGTGTTGCAGCCAGTTGCGATCCCCGAACATACAGAAAGACCCAAGTTTTTCCATCATCAAAATCCGATTAAAGCCACATAAAACCATGAAAACACATATTCAAAACATATCTCATATCTCAAAATCAACATGAATTTAGATAGTTTTTTTTCAAAAATACCAATCATCTAATCTTGTGTAATTACGGGTAAATTATGGGTATATTACGGGTCCGTTACGGGTAATCAAATTACGGTTTAAAACAAGATGAAGCCCACGAACCCGAATGCTCACACGTATGTTAATGGTACAGATGTCAAAACACATGGTTATGCAGTGACACACAATACCTTTCTGCACTAGTTTATTTGGAGTAGAGTGTGGAGTGTGGAGTGTAAAGTGCAAAGTGTGGAGTGTAAAGTGTAGAGTGCGGAGTATGGAGTGTAAAGTGTAGAGTGTGGAGTGTAGAGTGTGGAGTGTGGAGTGTAGAGTGTAGAGTGTGGAGTGAGGAGTGAGGAGTGTAAAGTGCAAAGTGTGGAGCGTGGAGTGTGGAGTGTAAAGTGAGGAGTGTAAAGTGTGGAGTGAGGAGTGTGGAATGTCAAGTGAGGAGTGTAAAGTGTGGAGTGAGGAGTGGAAAGTGTAGAGTGTGGTGTGTAGAGTGGAGTGTGGAGTGTGGAGTGTAAAGTGTGGAGTGTAGAGTGTGGAGTGCGGAGTGTAAAGTGTGGAGTGTGGAGTGTAAAGTGTGGAGTGTAAAGTGTAGAGTGTGGAGTGTAAAGTGTGGAGTGTAAAATGTGGAGTGAGGAGTGTAAAGTGTGGAGTGTGGAGTGTAAAGTGTGGAGTGTGGAGTGTTGAGTGGAAAGTGTGTAGTGTAAAGTGTGGAGTGTAAAGTGTTGAGTTGAGGAGTGTAAAGTGTGGAGTGTGGAGTGAGGAGTGTAAAGTGTGGAGTGTGGAGTGTAAAGTGTGGAGTGAGGAGTGTAAAGTGTGGAGTGTGGAGTGTAAAGTGTGGAGTGTAAAGTGTGGAGTGTAAAGCGTGGAGTGTGGAGTGGAAAGTGTAGAGTGTGGTGTGTAGAGTGTGGAGTGTGGAGTGTAAAGTGTGGAGTGTAAAGTGTGGAGTGTAAAGTGTAGAGTGTGGAGTCTGGAGTGGAAAGTGTAGAGTGTGGTGTGTAGAGTGTGGAGTGTGGAGTGTAAAGTGTGGAGTGTTGAGTGGAAAGTGTGGAGTGTGAAGTGTGAAGTGTAAAGTGTGGAGTGAGGAGTGTAAAGTGCAAAGTGTGGAGCGAGGAGTGTAAAGTGTGGAGTGTGGAGTGTAAAGTTTGGAGTGTGGAGTGAGGAGTGTAAAGTGTGGAGTGTGGAGTGTGGAGCGTAAAGTGTAGAGTGTGGAGTCTGGAGTGGAAAGTGTAGAGTGTGGTGTGTAGAGTGTGGAGTGTGGAGTGTAAAGTGAGGAGTGTAAAGTGTGGAGTGTGGAGTGAGGAAAGCGCCACGCGTGCCACGCAAAACGACATGACAACCTGCTTGGACACATTCGAATCGGAGAGGTTTTCCAGCTTCCCCCATAGACACGGCGACGCCACAGGAAAACCAGAGACTCGAGACGAGACACGTGGGCGCAAAAAAACGAGCATTTCGTGCGAGACTTCCTCCAAGCTTGATATTTTCGACACGTTATCAAACAGGTTGGAATGTCACAAAGTGCCACGCCTGCCACGCAAAACGACATGACAACCTGCTTGGACACATTCGAATCGGAGAGGTTTTCCAGCTTCCCTATAGACACGGCGACGCCACAGGAAAACCAGCGACTCGACACAAGACACGTGGATGCAGAAAAACCAGCATTTCGTACGAGACTTCCTCCAATTTTCACAGTTGGCAACATGACAAAAGGACAAGTTTTGCAGCTTCCCCTATAGACACGGCGAGGCCACAGGAAAACCAGAGACTCGAGACGAGACAGGTGGGAGCACCAAACCGACCATTTCGTGCGAGACTTCCTCCAATTTTCATACTTTGCAGCTCCAAAATCGACGTTTTCCTACGAGTTTTCCTTAGAACCTGAAAATTTGTAACCTCAAAATCGATGTTTCGTGCGAGGCTTCCGTCAATTTTCAGCACATGTCACAAAATGCCACGCCTGCCACGGAATTGGCACCTTGTCACCACTTGACGCAGCCCTGCCAATGCGATTTACAAAAAACGCGCAAAAGGACACGTCTAAAGTGCTGCGCCTGCGCCTGCCACGGAAAATGACGATGGACACGCCCAAAGTGCTGCGCCTGCCACGAAAACTGCAACACATCTTCTGAAAACGTCGCAAAAGTATTGCGCCTGCCACGCGAAACGACTTTCGACACGTTGCAGAACACGTCTGAATGTCACGAAGTGCCACGCTTGCCACGCGAAACGAAGCAACCAGACGTCTGAAACCTCCAAAAAGGACCACCTCTGCAAAACTTCCCATAGGCACGGCCATACGGAGTTCGCGCGAACGGTTGCGGACGGTTGCGGACGGTTGCGCTCGCGAACGCAACGTTGAGCGAACACACCCTCAACCCCCAGACCCCCAGAGTGAAACGGGAACCCTTGCTACGCATTCGGGAAAACTATGTTTTTTTTCAATTGTGTCTACGGGCTGATTATGGTTTGGTTACGGCCCATTATGAGAAATAGATAGGTTTTTCCCTTGATGACGGTCAAATTATGGGTGAAAAACGCTTCGACTACGGGTGTGCTACGGTAGATTACGGCCCATTAGGGGGCCACCTCAGGCAAGGTCAGGTTTCCTTTCTGATTGGTTTGCAGGAACCTGGTGTGTTGCATATTACATACTGAACAAATACCCATATAAGGATCCATTCAATATTCTAAATAGGGGATATTGGAAAAAACACAGGTTTCAAAAGAACAAACACATATGTTATGTTTACTCTCATCAAAAAACATAGGTTTCTTCATTATAACAATGAACAAGTTGGTATTTTGCTCAGTAGGTGT